AGTTAAATTTTGATCAAATTAAATTAAAGATAAACAAAAAGAAAATTCAGTTTCCTTTTGCATATCACTAATGATAGTGAGCTGGGAACCATCTCCTAGATTAAGATCATCTTGCAGAATGGTCATAAACCATTTCCATGTCAACTTGCTTTCAGTACCAATTATTGCCCATGCTATTGGATACATTTGGTTGTTTGCGTCCTTAGCAACAACTACCAAAAGTTGACCCTTACAAATTCCTTTTAGAAAACACCCATCCAGCCCTATACATCTTCTGCATCCATGTTGGAAACCCTTTTTTCATAGCATCAAAACATATATAAAAAGAGTGAAATTGTTTCATCCCATTTTCTTATTCTGAATCTTTAAGCTTCACAACATAAGTGCTACCAGGATTTGTTTGGAGTAACACCTCCCTGTAGTCTAGGATTCTGTTAAATTCTGCCACATGATCCCTCAGAATTTCCTTTAAAATATGTTTTCTTGTTTTTAAACAAATTGCCTTGCCTACATGAACATTCAACTCTTTCCTCACCAAATCTTGTATTTCCCACTCTTTTATACTAGGTTGAGAAATAATCCTATCTTTCAGATACTTACATAAAATTTTGAATTACACAAAATATTATTGGTGGTCCTAGTACATCTGTGCCTTGGGTTGTATGTCTTGATAGTGAAGTTCACACTCCTCCCTTCCTTGCTTGCATACAACAGCCATGGCAACCACTTTTACACTTGACTCTTACTCTTTTACTCACATTCACATACTTGTCTAACTCAACTCCTTTTTTTATAGCACATTTTGTAATTGCCTCTCTAAATTCCTTTACACTTTCAAATACCAAACCACACTGCCATATTATAACATCATAAAGTAGAATCATATATCATTCTATTACTATTCTTTCTCCACTTTAAACTCCCTCCTTCAAGTTCATCATCAGAAACAAGTTCTTCTTCATCACTTTGAAAACTATCACAATCATAACTGTCATAGTATAGCTCATCCCCTCTTAGCTTACCCTTGAATTTTTTTTGCCTTTTTCAATATCCTCATACCCTTAATCAAGTCCAACTTCACCTAAAAAACCTTTTGTTTTTTCCTTCTTCTTTTCTCCTCCTACTTTTTTTTAAACTTTCTCACATCTTCCTTAACAATCCTCAACTCCTCATGCACATCACTTCCATAGTCAATAGACTGGTCAGAACAAATAGAATCAGTGTCTATGTATTCCTCTACATTTTCCTGGGCACTTGGTTCAACTTCTTCTTGAATAGAAGGTTCGGCTCCTTGTTGGAAAGTAAGTTCACCTTCTTCTTCAGTATCAGTCCAATCTATTGAAGAATAATCATCATCAGTTTACTGTTTATGCTTTGATGTACCCAGGAGCGAGTTTATCTTTTGTAACTCCTTATGTTGCTATGAACTTTGATGTTAATCCTGAGCAACTTAGTGAACCATTCAACGTTTCTACACTTGTTGGTGAGTCTATTCTAGTAGAGAGAGTCTATCATGAATGTCCTTTTTCCGTCAATCACAAGAGTACCATGGCTGATTTAATTGTGTTAGACATGGTAGATTTTGATGTCATTCTTGGTATTGACTGGCTTCATGCCTGTTATGCCTCAGTTGATTGTAGAATTCAAGTAGTCAAGTTTCAGTTTCCAAATGAGCTAGTCTTAGAGTGGAAAAGCAGTTCAGCAGTGTTTAAGGGTCATTTCATTTTGTACCTTAAGTCAACAAAGTTAGTTTCTAAGGGGTGTCTCTATCACTTAGTCCGAGTTAATGACTCAAGTGTTGAGGTACCTCCTATTCAGTCAGTTCCAGTAGTAAAAGAGTTTCTAGAAGTCTTTCCTGATGATCTTCCCGGAGTCCCTCCTAAGAGAGAGATAGACTTCGATATAGATCTTCTTTAAGATACTCGTTCTATCTATATTCCGCCATACAGAATGGCACCAACAGAGTTGAAAGAGAAGTTAAAGGATCTATTATATAAGGGTTTCATTCGACCAAGTGTCTCACCTTGGGAGGCTCCAGTCTTATTTGTGAGAAATAATGATGGTTCCCTTAGGATGTGTATAGATTACCGTCAGTTGGATAACGTTACCATCAAGAATAAGTATCCTCTTCCAAGGATAGATGATTTATTTGATCAACTTCAGGTTGCCACCTGTT